AAAAGAAAAGAAAAGAAAAAACAAGTGTCTACAAGCAGCCTGGTGAAGTATTTGGGCTGAAGTAAGACCTGGTTATCCCAGCTCTATCATTTACCACTGTGTAACTTTGGACAAGTTGCATAATGTCTGTGAGCTTTTTTGAGTTCCCTCACCTACTAGATTGTTGTGAGAATTAAATGACATTATGAATGAACAGTAAGTAGAATTGTGTGTATATCAACCTGCACAGGATCGGTCAGAACACAGATTTCTTGGGCAGATTACAGCCCAAACCTTAAGTCAGTTGGATGGCAGACAGCAAGGATCAACCCTCTGAAGCAATAATTGTACAGAATCACTGCTAACTATATTTTGCATACTTAAAAAAATAGTAGAGGCATTGTCAATTTTCATTACTTTCCAATACTTTAAATCATTTTTATGTGATTAAGCTGATTAAGATTTAAAATAATAAGTCTACTTGATTTCTGCTAATATTTCTTTTAACTGAACCAGTAGAGTTAGAACCGGCTAAAATATTGAAGCAGATCAGACCTTTGCACATGTATCCCAAATGTGAACGTGTACCATCTTGGCCAGTGGTTATTAATAATGTCAGATAATGCACATACAAGCTGATGAGCATGAACTTGCAGACATACAAGCTTACTTGCGGGAACTTGCAGAGATCCCACATCCCATGGTCTGTCTTGCTTCAGAGTTGCCTGTAACCAGTGACAGAGGACATCACCACCTCCGTTTATGGTCGTCTTCTGTGAGTCAAGAACTGTTCAGATAATTATTTATAAACTGTTCTGGGATTTTTGAAATATACAGTGCTGCCAGCTTGGAAAGCAACAGTCATTTCTGGGGAGAGCTTCATGTTGACTGGAGGTGGGGGCACTGGAGCCCGCCCAGTTCACATGTTTACCAGAGCATTCTGCTCTACGCCTTGCTGGAGAGCTGGGGGTAAGAAGGTGAAGTATAGCCTTAACAGCACCTGTCATGTTTGACCTCACCCTATGAGCTCACTGAAAATCACCTAGGTGCTCATTTTGTGTGGAAGGGTCAGATCTTTAAAATTAGATGGAAAAAAAGCCTCTCTAATAAGGTAAAAGGTAATGAGGAAAACATTACACATAACCAAAACATTTGAATATAAAGACAATTTGCTTTCTACTATTTCTCCATTGTCTTTCTTTTTTCTCCAGTAAATTTTCCTTTTCTTGCTGGGTACAGTGCCACACACTCTGTAGTGCCAGCTACCTGTGAGGCGGAGGTGGGGGGATTGCTTGAGCCTAGGATTTGGAGAACAGCCTGAACAACATAGTGAGACCCCATTAAAAAAAAGTTTTTCCTGGAGCCTGGTTATAAAGGCTTGTATTAGCTTCTTCGTATGCTGGGCCTTGTTTTCTTTTTCCTTTCTTTCTTTTTTCTTTCCTTCCTTCCTTCCTTCCTTCCTTCCCTCCTTCCTTCCTTCCTTCCTTCCTTCCTTCCTTCCTTCCTTCCCTCTCTCTTTCTCTCGCTCTGTCTCTGTCTCTGTCTCTGTCCCTGTCTCTGTCTTTCTCTTTTTTTGTGGTACTGAAGATTGAGCCCATGTTAGGCAAGCCCTTACTACTAAAATACGTTCCCTGCCCTTTTTTTGTATTTTTTTAAATTTTGAGAGAGGCCCTTGCTAAATTGCCCAGGCTGGCCTCGAATGTGATCTTTCTGCCTCAACCTCCTGAGCAACTGATGTTACAGCCATGTGCTACTGTACTCAACTCAGCCTTGTTTTCTTATCTATAAAGTGAAGATGAAGGTACCTTCCTGCTTTTCTAAGGTTTTGTGCTCACTCATACCTAAAGTTTTTAGATCTAAACATTTGCGGATTTGAAGAAATATTAGGACAAAACAGTTCTAGCTTCCCAGGGCTGGGGAATCATCCACATACAATAGGATTCTTTTAAACAAGTTCTCTCAGTATTGAATTTTTCCCAAGAGCTCTATAAAAATAGTGTTTTCTTGCCAGAAACATCAAGACCCAAGAACCACCAACCTCCTTCTATGAGCAGAGCTTTTGGTCTGTGTTTGGCTTGGGGATCTGTTTAGCAGACAGTGCAGCCTGCTCTGAGAGGCTGACTCAGCAGTTCTCCAACACAACCCCACTCTTATCAGGATCCAGGTGCCCATTCCCTGCCAGCAGGGCAGGCTCGGAGCCCATGCTGCCCCTATCCCCCTTCATACCACAAGGGGCTTCCTTCTATTTTCCAGAGTGTGTTCTCTAATTCTAAGGGTGTCAGAGCATGAGTTTATTTTTGTTCATGGCCAGAGATTTATCAGTCCCCTTGTGGCATCTGTCTCTCGTGAGCTTCTCACCCACATAGCCCCTGTGCCTTGTCCTGCCCTGTTGCCCTTGTTGCCGTATTACCCTCTGATCTGCTCCTAGTGTTTGCTAGAGATCCTTTTTCCTTTCCCATTATTGAAATTCCATCAAACCCTCATGGTTTTAGAAGTATGAGATTTTTTTCTATATTCACACTTTCTGTTGTTGTTTTTACTGTACTGAGTGTTAACACTCAGAACCCTCATAGTGAGCTATACCCTGGTCTTTTAAAAAATTTTTTTTATTTTCTGAAACAAGGTCTCACTAAATTGCCCATGCTGGTCTTGAACTTGCAATCCTCTTGCCTCAGCCTCTCAGGGTGCTGGGATTATAGGCATGCACAGCAGCACCTCACTCTGTATAGCTTTTAAAAATGTTACCAGGCGTGGTGGTACGTGCCTATAATCCCAGCACTTGGGAGGCTAAGGCAGAAGGATTGTCATAAGTCCCAGGCCAGTTTTTACTGGAGAAAAATTTGAATATATTCAAAAGCAGAGAAAACAGTATCGTAAACCACATGTACCCCTCACCCAGCTTTACTAATCATGTTTCATCTGAATCTATTCCCCCAACCCCAAAGTCTTTTGAAGCAAATCTCACGTGTCATATAATTTCTTTTTTTTTTTTTTGGTTGGTGTGTGTGTGTGTGTGTGTGTATGTTTTGAGACAGGGTCTCACTATATAGTTCAGGCTGACCTTGAACTCACTATGTAGCCCAGGCTAGCCTTGAACTCAAGAACTCTAGAATGCTGGGATTACAGGCATGCACCACCACACTCAGCTTTTCCTTTCTTAAAGAATTCCAGATCTGCTTGAGAGGAGGTATAAATTAATCCTCTTCCAGGTCTCATTGCATTTAGCCCAGCTACCTCTCTGATCTCCCAGGCTTTATCTCCTTAGAAGTAGATGTCCCTCCCCTGTTGTCCCACAGTCCCACTGGTAGAACAGTTGACAGAATAAAATCCACATTCATCTATGTAGTGAGGGTCTGGTTATAAGACAGCAACTTAGGTGGGAAAGGAAGGCTCTTGGAAGGATGATGGAGACCCAAAGGAAAAGGAAAAGTGCCCAAGTTCTACTCCATCAAGTCGAAGGTGGGGCTGCTTGTTGTCATTTATGATGAGCCACTCTGTTACAGAATGGGTAAGAGAAATTCCTCAAAGCAAGGGGGGCCAATTGCTGTGATACCAATCAGTGACCTGATTTCCACTCCACCCTTTTCCTTGTCCAGTAACAGGTGGTAGGTTCCGCTGAGAAGGGTCTAAAGCCTGTTCCTGCCTTATCTCTATTTCAGATGCAGTGGCAGAATGTGGAGCACGTTGGTGACCAGAGCCCCTATGTCACCTCTGTCATTCTTCACATTAAGCAGAATGTCCCCATCATCCGCGACAACCTGGCTTCCACACGGAAATACTTTACTCAGTTCTGTATTAAATTTGCAAAGTAAGTTCTGGAACATTCTCATCACTGAGTTGCTTTTAGTTTTTAAGTAGACTTTATGTTTTAGAGCTGTTTTAGTTTCACATAAGTGAGCAAAAGGTGTAGGGAATTCCTGTGTACTTCTTGCCCCCATTTGCACAGACCCCTCCAGTATTAACATCCCCACCAGAGATGTACATTTGTTGCAGTTGATGAACCCAAGCACATATTAGCACCCAAAGTCTGCAGTTCACTGTTGATGTTGTATATTCTGTGAGTCTGGACAAATCTATAATAACATGTATTTATGGTATCATGCTCAGTGGTGGTTTTGTTCTGTTTTTTATTAGTACATATTAATTTTACAAAATATTGGGTTTCAGTGTGGTATTTTCACGCATGCATTAACATTTTCACCCTATTCATCCCACTACCCTTCCCCACATTCCCTTTTTCCCTCCCCTTATTCCCTTCCTCTTATCTAATAATAGTCTCTCTTTTACTTTTATGTCTTTCTTTTTTTTTTTTTTTTTTTTCTTAAACATCCCACATATTAGGGAAGAAGTATGATACTTGTCTCTCTGAGGCTGGAGAATTTTGCTTACCATGGTGATTTGTAGTTCTCTCCATTTTTCTGCAAATAACAATTTTGATTTTTATGGCTAAATGATATTCCATAGACCCCATTTTATCCACCCGTCTATTGGTGAGCACCTCAGCTGGTTGCATATCTTGGCTGTTGTGAGTTGTGCCACAATAAACATGGGTGTTCAGTACGCTATAATATGCTGACTTTAATTCCTTTGGGTACATACCAAGGAGCTGTACAGCAGAGTCATGTGGTAGCTCTAGTTTTTTGAGGAACTTGCATACTGATTTCCATAGTGGCTGTACTAATTTACATTCCCATCAGCAGTGGAGAAGCGCCCCCCGCCCAATCCTTACCAACATTTATTGTTTTGGGGTTTTTTTTTTTTTGTATTCTTGATGACAGCCATTCTGACTGGGATGACATAGAAGCTTAGTGTAGTTTTGATTTACATTTCCCTAATGGTTAAAGAGTCAACAGAGTTATTTTATTTTATTTTTCAGTAGCATTATTTTAATGCCGTATTCACCACCCACCATGCTCACAATGTAAGGATGTCTATCATCCAGCTGGGGCTCATTCTGGTGCCTGTAGGGAAACTAATACTAACCTGACCCCAAAAGGACCATAATAATAAAACCAAATCCGCTACTTAAGGTCATATATACAGTAATAGCAGTGTAATCCTAGGCTGCATCAAGGCTAAGCAAAATAAGTCAGTTATTTGGAAGTATATGGATTAACAACCCCTTGCCCAGGTTTGGATAATTAAAATTATTTTTCAGAGAATTCGTGTTTGTATTTTGTCTCTGACTAGATTATAAACTTTTTAAGGATAGGAGTCATCAGCTTATGGCTCTTTCCTTTTCCTTCTTCTCCATAAGATTTATTAATATAGCTCCTAGAGTCTGTCCACTTGTAGATATCCCTGAGTCCAGAGAAGGTACTAGGAATTGGGAAGAGCCTGTCAGAGAGCTTCATTGCCAAGGTAGATGGAACAAACATTGAACTACATGACTTCTGTCATACCCTCGTGTGTGGCCATTTCTGGCTTGAGTTTTGGAACAAGGAAATAGTTTGGTCCTTTGCCAATCAGCATCTGGCGATAGCACTGTTTCCGGTGAGACCAGGCAGTGTAGAGGGCCAGTGCTACTCCTGACCAATTATCAAACAAGTATTTTGGCAAACGTCTAAGGGAAGGGCTTCGAGAAAGTCAGCTGTGTCCAAGCTACTGTATTTGGGTTATTCTCATCCAGGTCCCAAAGGGTGATTCAGGGCTCCAAGTTTCTGTCTTCTCCAAATCTCTCCCAGTTTGTATTCAAGTAGGATTTTCTTTCTCTGACACAAATAAATCCCTAAGGAGCAACCATAACAGACTGGCCTGTAGAATTAGCTTTAGTTTCTACCTTGTCAAGAAAACATAGAGTGGACTCTCCAGGGAGGCGTTAATGTTTGCAGTATGGCAGATGGACCAGGAGTTGACATTCCCTTCACTCTCTGAGTGCTCATTAATGTACATAGAAAGCATTGCTGATAAATCACATTGTGACACTCACTAAAACTGCTGGTAGAAATGTCTCTGTAAAAATTTACTGTGACTAAAAATCTCCATTGTGGTCACCCAAAGGTCTGATTGAGCTCACTTTCGAGTAAATAAGGAGGCCATTGCTTAGCTCGTCTGAGCATCAGCCTCGCATTCTCTCAGAGCCCTTTAATTTTATTACGAAGCTCAGGTTCAGTGAACTGGGAATAGGATGCCCACTTACACATCTGGAAAAATTCAGTCTGTGATCTAGAAAATATTTCTGTGTTAGTCTATGGTACCCTTTCATTCTTGTAAAACCTCAGCCTCCCTGCAATAACTTGAGAGGTGGAGGTTGTGAGAAGGCCCTTCCCCAACCAAGGGCAACAGCCACTACCACGCCGATGGCCAGAGAAGCCGATGGTATTTATCCACCACGTTGCTGGGACCTGTCCCCCAAAGACCAGACTCTGGTCCCTGTGGTTCCTTGGCCTACCCCATGTAGACTAGTGCACAGAGCCAGTTCAAGAGCACAACCACAGCTTACTGTAGTGTGAAATACTTTGGACTACAAACTGTGTATATAGTTGCAATTAATTATTAATTCAGCCTCACATACTTATTTGGCTCTGGTTTGCAGCCTTGAGGATTCCCTTTGAAATGGTCCCTTGTTCACCCTGCCTGTCAATCAGCAGGCCTGCCCATAGATCTGATCTCTGGACTTTAAATTCCTTTCCTCTAACCTCTCCTACCCCACCTATGCAAATCCACCCATGGCTCCTTGCCTCCATTTGATGTCTGCAGGGACAATAGCCTTCCCTGTTTAGACATCAAGGTTGCACCGTGGCTGGAACTCCAGTTTGACTGTAAGCAACTTCCCTCATCCACTAAGCTGACTCACTTCTATTCAGTAATGGAGACTGAAGGACAAATCTCTTACTAGTGATTGGGAGGGTAAAATGGGAAGTCGCAGGTAAATTTGCTGCTAAAGTGCTGGTGCCAGTCTGACAGTCAAAAAGTGGTAGCTGCTACCATTATTAAAATATTAACTATTTATTCAACATGCATTCATGTCAGCACCTCCTACCCAGGGTTAAATGATTTGCTTAACAGACCCAGACCCAAATGGGTTAGATGTGAGAGGCCTGAGGACTCCCTGAGGATATGGTGAAAGTGACTGAGGAAAACTCCTTAGAAGAGATATCTGAGCAGGGTCAGAAAGATGCATGAGTACTGACTCCCAAGCCCCTAGGAAAGGGTAATCCAGGCAGAACAGTGGAAGCAAAGGTGTGGAGGCGTTAGCAGCCTATAGAACTCTTGTTTTTTTGTTTGATTGTTTGTTTGTTTGTTTAAAATGGGGGTCTCATCTTGCCCAGCCAGTTCTCAAACTCCTGCCTCAGCCTCCCAAGTAGCTGGGACTATAGGCATGTGCCACCATGCCCAGCTCCAGAACTACAGCACCTCCAGAATCATGGAATCTGCAAGCAGCTCAACAAGATTGAAGCATAGAACGCCAGGGCTTATCACTGCCAAGTCTGAAGACAGAGAATCCATAATGAAGGAAATGACCAGGTGTGGGGCCTCTACTCCCAGCTAGTCAGGAGGCTGGGGCAGGAAAATCACTTGAGCCTAGGAGTTTAGGTCTAGCCTGGGCAACACAGCAAGACCTTGTCTTGCAGGACTGGGAAATGAGTTCAAGGAAGATCTTCTTTGTAGAGTTCTAAGAGTTTTAATCAGGGGAGGAATTTGGTCATGTGTGCATTTGAAATAAATGCATTTGGCTGCAGGTGGTTAGAAAGATTAATAAGGCTAAAGGTGGGATAGTTGGAAAGGATGGTCAGAAGGGCAGATAAGGAGTTGCGAGGAAGACTTGGTAACTGAGTGGATGTTGGGGTTGAGGTGAGGAGCAGTCTCAGGCAACTGCCAGTTCCTGGCTTGGTGACTGAGAAGATGAGATCCAGTACCCTGAGCCTGGAGGCCAGGACAGGGCTGAGTCTGGGCTGGGCTAGATCTGAGGTGCAGGTGGCCATTCCATGCAGATGTCCTGTAAGTCGTTCTCTATTAGAATGAGCACAAGTGTACAAAAAAAGATGAAGAGATTGGAAAAAAAGAAGGCTCAAGCCCAGGCGCAGCATTAGAAGTAAGGCAGCCTTTTTCTAAACCTACAAATGCAGCGCTCTCCCTCCTTCCTCCGCAGGCCTGGAGCCCTGTGACACCTCCTGGTCAGGTCACTCTGGGTCTTGCCTTGGTTACAGGCACATCTAGTTTCCACAGCTTCAGTTCCACGTCAGGACAGCCTGGCTTTCTAAAGAGCTCTCGTAGCCTATTGTTATTTCACTCTCCCTTCCCCCAAACCAGTATTGTCAGCCCAGCTAGTACAGGTTGACTCAGTCTTCAGCAGATTTTTTTAGATTTTCTGATGTGAGAAACTGAAAGGGTAAATAAAGACCAAAATGTGTAATAGATGTTGTGAAATAGGAAATGTTCAAAAGGGAGAACAAGGGAGCAGGGAGGAGGAAAGGAAGGAAGACAAAAGGAAAAAAAGAGGATAGAAGGAAAAAATCTTATCTGCCCTTCTGATTTTTTAGATTTTTTACTATTTTCAAAGTAGTTTGAAATGTATTTTATTTCCAGATCTGACAGTTATTCCTATAGCAATTATTTCCGATTTCTGCATTTAAGGCCCCATAACTACTTTGTGTATATTTCATTCTTTCATCTGTTAAGATTTTTTCAGCTACTAATAATAGAAGCCTTGACTCAAACCAACTTAAATGGCAGGTAGTTTTTTTTTTTTTATTTCATATAACTGCAAGTCCAGAGGTAAGACAGATCTGAGAGTGGGTGATTTGGGAGTTTAGTGATATCATTGAGACCTAAGCTGTTTATTCTGCTGTCTTGGAGATCCTTAAACTGGTAATAGGATGGCACCTAGAGAGGTTATATCCAAATGCACCAAGGTCCTAAGGAAGAAGAGGGGCTCTCACCTACCCTTGCAGTGAAGTCCTTCCCTCCAGCGATTGGGCCAGCTTAGATCATGTGTCTCTCTCAAGACCAATGACGGTGACCTAGGAAATGCCATGCTCAGCCTGACTGAGGCTGGTTAAAATTCACCAGTGTAATTTAGGGTGGGGTCAACTTTTCCCCAGCATCCTAAGGCCATGTCTAGGGTATCTGAACAAACAAAGCCAGGGCTATGGTTTGAAAGAAAAAGAAGTAAATAGATGCTGGTAGGTGGCAGCAATGTCTACCTCAATTCTATTTTCTTAGGGAAAGGAATGGTACCTTTTGTTTTTAAATTAATTTTATTAATACATTTTAGATACACATAATAACATTCATCATAGGGAATTTGTACCTGTACACTGTATCTCTTGATTCTTCTTTTTTCCCCAATCACTGCCCCTCTCTTCAACCTCTCTTCTCCACCTTATTTATAAAAGCTTTAGTTAGGCATGCTCGTGCAGTCGGGAGGCTAAGGCAGGAGGATTGCTCCAAGTTCGAGGCCATCCTGGGCTACAGAGTGAGGTCAAGCCAGCCTGAACTGCATAGTGAGATCCTGTGTCCAAAAAAAAGCTTTGTTTCCTTTTTTTCCTTCTATTCTCTTTTTTTCCTTTTCTCTTCCTTCCTCTCCTCCTCCCTGCTCCCTTGTTCTCCCTTTTGAACATTTCCTAGTTCACAATATCTATTACACATTTTGGTCTTTATTTACCCTTTCAGTTTCTCACATCAGAAAAACAATGTGATATTTAAACGTGTGTCTGATTTATTTCACTTAAGAGTATGGTCTCCAGGTGCGTCCATTTACCTAGAAATGTCTCAAATTTATCCTTTTTTATGGCAAAGTAGTACTCCATTGTATAAAATAAATCTTTATCAGTTCATCAGTTGATGGGCATTTGGGCTGTTTCTAAGATTTAGGTATTACACACTGTGCCACTATAGACATGAGTGTGCATATATTGCTGTAGTATGATGCTTTTAATTCTTTTGGGAAGATACCAAGAAGAGGAATAGTTGGATCAGATGGAATCTCTAGTTTTAGTTTTGTGAGGAATCTCCACACTGACTTCCACAGTAGTTTCACCAGCCTATACTCCCACCAACATTGGAAAAATGTTCCTTTTCCCCTACATCCCTGCCAGCAATTTTTTATTTTTTTTTTATTTTTTATTTTTTTGTCTTTTTGAGACAGGGTCTCGCTGTGCAGTTCAGGCTGGCCTTGAGCTCACTTTGTAGCCCAGGCTGGTCTCAGACTCGCAATGATCCTACTGCCTCAACCTCCCAAGTGCTGGGATTAGAGGCGTGCGCCACCACGCCTGGCCAGCATTTTTTATTGATTTCTTGATAATAGCCATTCTTTCTGGAGTGAGCTGGAATCTCAGTGTTGTTTTAATTTGCATCTTTTGGATGACCAGTGATGTTAAACATTTTTTCATATATTTGTTGCCATTTCTACTTCCTCATCTAAGAAGAATGTATTCATTTCATATAAATGGTACCTTTAAAAAAAAATCTGCAGTTCTTTTCCAGAGAATCAATAAGCCTATTTTTTTTTTTTATATCCACAGCTCTTTCATTCCAAAATTCATCACCCACCTCTTCAAGTGCAAGCCAATCAGTATGGTGGGAGCAGAACAGGTGAGATGGATTCATATTGGGCCTTTGCCTTATAGCTTTTGTCATGTCCTAGGGAAGATCTGGAGAAATAAAATGACTGATTTCCCCTGGTTGGAGACAGAATAGTGACCTGGTGAGTTTCTTGATTCATTCACCCATCTATTTATTTTTAAAATCTGTTAAGCATCTACTGAGTACCACACACAGTTCTAGGTTCGGGGTCCACACAGTCAGCAAGATGGAAAAAGTTTCTCCTTTGGAATGCTCACATTCTGATAGGAAGAGACAGATACTTTGCGAGTTAATAAATCCATTAGAGGGCCAGGAATATAGCTCAGCAGCATAAGTGCTTGCCTAGCTAAGCCTGAGGTCATGAGTTCGATACCTGATACAAACAAAAAAAAAAAATAGATCCATTAGAATATAATTTCAACTTTAGGTAAGTATGCTGAGACTATAATACAAATGTCTTAGACTGAGAGAGTAATGACTTTACATTAGATGGTCAGAAAAGGTTTCTTCAAGGGCTGGTGCTAGAGAGGACTAGAAGAAGAAGCAGAAAATATTTTGACTGTTTTAGATCCACACTGTTTTAGTGGCTGGGCCAGAGACCACTTAAGAATATAAGCAGTTTACCCCGGAGACACATTCCTGTAAGTCCGGCTACTTGAGAGGCTGAGGCAGGAGCATCGCAACATCCAGCCCAGCCTGGGCAATTTATTGAGATCCTGTCTCAAAATAAGAAATTAAAAGGGCCAAGGATAAAGCTCAGTGGAAGAGCAGCCAGGGTTTCAACCCTCAGTACTGGGGCGGCGGGTGTCTGGTGACTAAGGGACTCTGACCACCTCCCTGGAGAAGCTCCCCTGCCTGGCTCCTCTCTGCTCAACTTGTATGCTAAGCTTCATGAGGTCTGTGTTTAGTTTACACCCCCTCACTGCTGATGGACTGAGTTGGATGCTATAGCACAGTCACTTCTTTTCGGTTCCCACCTCTGAGACTATCTGTGAGATGAGCGATTTAAATTGAGGGAGCAGTTCAAGCTATTTTAAAAAGAAAACAAAAATAAAAAATAAAAAAAAGAAAAAGAAAACAATAATATGCCTTACCTAATTCTTTCAAAGCACCAGTTAAATGTAGACTATCAATATGCTAATCAAAGTGATTCATATATTCATTAAAATGAACGCTTTCTAGACCTCTACCTGTCAATGCTTAGAAAACGTAAAATTTTATAATTCAAAACATTTGCACAAATCCTGCCCTACCATCCTGTGAGCCCGGTTAGTGATATGTCCTCACACCAGCGCCTCAGTTGTGCTGGTCCCCTCATGCCCCAGTAAGATGGCAAGTTAGCATGTACCATACCACACTGTGCTCTCTAGTGATAACTCAAAGCCAGATGTGTAATGTCTGGGAATAGCAAGAGCTCTTGAATCTGGTAAGTAGCTTCATCCTTTCTGTTAGCAAGTGCTCTTCCTCGGTTATGAACTCTGAAATCACAAAGGTCGTAGGTGAATCTTGTGTCTACAACATAGCAGTTGCCTGTTCTTTAGCCTTGTTACTTAACCTCACAGCACTTGGGCTGTCCCATCTATGCAGTAAGGGTTGTGAGGATTGGCACACAGTTGGCCATCACAAAATGCCAGCTCTTAGTAGTTTTAAGCTTCCTAAGACCAGGGACATGACCTTGTCTCTGTTTTCTTTGCCTGTCTTTCCTAATACCTCTTCTGCACACAGGCTGCATAGAATCATCTAGTTAGTGCTTGCCGCCGGCTGTCTGGCAGACCAGCTTTAGCTGGAGTCAAAAGTGTTGTCTCGGAAAACTTCCTGGGAGGTGTAGATTCAGACACTGGCTGCGCCTGACTGCAGCAGTTCAGCATTTTTAAATTCCTGACGCTTGCATGTTATAAGCACAGAACTCATTCCCTCCACCAGTGGCAGCAGAATAATGCCCTAACATGCTGTCTCCAGTTTCATTAACACAACTTTACCAAGGATTCATTCTGGTCACATTATCCTTTTGTGTGTGATCAGAGAGGATGTGCAGTGATTAAGATCTGTGTGTCTGGGAGAAGCTTTAGGGTTCTCAGTTACTAGGTTTCTGTCTACAGACTTTAAAAAGCCACTGGAACAGGAAGTGGGCTCACTGGGAACATGTTTTCATGAGTTTGTAGCTTTGTGAACTGATTTACTGTCTAAACTGCTATGTCCATGTTATTATATAAATCCAATGTCATATCTGTTTTCCTCAGATTTTTCTTCCTCCTTCTCTACTTCCTCTTCTTCCTTTTCCTTTTCTTTCTCAGTACCAGGAATTTAGCCCAGGGGAGTGCTGACCTATATCCTCACCTTTTTTTTTTTTTTAATTTTAAGATGGTCTTGCCAAGTTGCTCAGACTGACCTCAAACTTGAGATCCTCCCACCTCAGCCTCATGAGTAGCTGGGATTACAGGAATACACCACCACACCCAGCTGATTTTAAAAAGTGTCAAGCTGATCAGCTCAGATCCAAAGCCAATAACCACAGAAAAATATCAGTTTTGGCAGAGTTCACTTCCACTTCAAGATATAGATGAGAAAACCATCTGCTGGAACTAGAGTTTTATGTTAGCAGACCCCAAGAAAATATGAGTGGGCCACAGGGGAGGTGTATTTCCCCAGGCCTAGCGTGAGAGAGAGCACGGGTAAGACAGTGGAGCAGTGTGGCCCTTGAAGGATTCCCAGGTGACATTCAAGTTTGGCTGGGTCTGTGCTTCCCTTGAGTATCTGAACTTTGAAACCCAAGCCATCGTGTAATCAGAGGCCTCTTTAATCAGCCAGCAGGATCATAGAAACCAAGAAGTTAACAAAGAGATGTTCATGGACTAAAACAGATTCTGCCTCAAATCATGGGGTGGCTGTAATCCAAGCTTAAACAAAAACTGGGGAACTCAAAACTAAGACTTAGCCTAATCTCAGCTGCATCTGCTTTGCAACAGAGTTGCTAGATCCTAAATTTAGGTTACACTTCAATACCAATGCTGGAAACAGGGAAGGGACACTTTTCTGCTCTTTATTCTCCTCTTGATGACTCCATAAAGTGAGCTGTTTGTCTTTAGGCCCCGTTGTCCTTTTGAGCAATTGCAAGGGCACATGCAATGCTGCTTGCTAGTTTGTGATTTTCGGAGAACCTTGAGGGCCTTGCAGGGTCATTAATTAGCCTTACAGCTATGATCATCTGTAACTGAGCACACAGCAGAAATAGAACTTGTTCACCCAAACTCACAGTGGAGAAAGCAGCACAGCATGTCCTAGGGAAGAGAGACTTGGAGTCCAGTCCTTACTCTGATGTTAATGCTCAGACTGTGACCCTGCTCACAGCAGTTTCCTCCTGTTGAAATGAGAGCGCTGATGCTGGTAATGTAAACCCCTTCAAGGTCTATCATATGGTAGAGTCTCAGGTTCTTGGAGAAAAATATTTCACGTTTGTAAGTTAGTTTCTTTTATATTATCGTTACATACCATGATTGACTTTTTATTAAAATTATGGTAGCCAGGTGTGGCACACGTTTGTAATCCCAGCACCTGAGGGGCTAAAGCAGGAGGATTGCTATGAGTTCAAGGCCAGCCTGGGCTTGACAAGCAAGTTCAAGGCCAGCCTGCACTGCATAGTGAGACCCTGTCTCAAAAATGAAACAAAAACTAACTAAATAAATAAATCAAGGATGGTGAAAGCGACTGTTTTGGTTACTTTTTTCTCGCTACTGGGACAAAATACCTGCCGCCCAAAATTAAGGAAGGAAAGGTTTATTTCGCTTACAGTTCGTGGAAGTTTCAATCCGTACTTGGCAGATTATAAGGCAGAGTGGCACGTGGCAGAGGGCTGCATCTCAGGACGGCAGCCACAGCTAAGCAACAACTAACTTACACCTGGGCGGAATGGGGGAGGAATGCCCTCAAGCAGCTTCTTCCTCTCCCTTACATATGCAAACTATCCACCCCAGGGCGGGTGTAGCTCTCACACCCACAATTATTCAACTCTAAAAGCCTGCCCCAGGGCCGCAGGAGGCTTTGGGGGGACACACAGACATAAACCATAACAGAGACCTGACAGAAAATTCACCATTTTAGCTTTTTAAGTCTGTAACCCAGTAGCGTTCAGTATATACACGTTCCTGTGCAGCCATCATCACCATCATATCCAGACCACATTCATCTTTCCGAACTGAACCTCCACACCCATGCAGCAGCAGCTTCCCACTCTGTCCTCCCCACAGTCCCTGGCAAGTAAGTTCTACTTTCAGCCTCTCTGAATTTGACTACTCCAGATGTCACCAATCAATTGAGAGTTCCTTTGCTCATCACAGATAGAAATCATGACTCAGCAGTGCTAGCAGCCCTGCCGCCAGTGGTCAACACCGGTTAGTGCTGGGCATTGTCAGTCGCCTCTGCCAGTTGCTGGTCTCTACTGCTGCCAACTGCCACCATTGGATGCTAGCTTGTACCAGGCGTCATCTGCTGACTGCCAGGTGCTGGTGTGCTGCTGCTGGCTGCCAGTATTCAATACCAGCTTGTACCAGGTGACATTTGTTGGTCAGCTCTGCTGGTTGCTGATCTGTGCCACTGCTGTACAACACTGGCTTGTGCCAGACACCATCAGTTGACTCTGCCAGTTGCCAGTCTGTACTGCTGCTGGCCACCACCGTGTGGCACCAGCTTGAGCCGCGTTCTTTCAGTCAGCTGCCAGGTGCTGGTCTTGGCTACTGCCAGCTGCTGCTGGTAGTTCAGTTCAACACCGAACTGTGCTGAATGCCATTATTTGACTCTTCCGAGTGCTGGTCTCAGCCACTACTGTTTGACACTGAATTGTACCAGATACCATTGGTGCACTCTGCCAGGTGTTAGTCTTTATCACTGCTAGCTGCTGCCCCTTGGATGCTGACTTGTGCCATATGCCATCAGTTAACTTTGCCAATTGCTGAGCTTGGCCACTACTCAGTGCCAAATTGTGCCAGATACATCAGTCAGCTCTACGGATTGCT